AAAATAGAATTTATTAAAAATCGTATTTCGAAATATTAACACTTTATAATGGTATAGTGTAAAATTAAAAACATATAAGTGGGGGAACGATTTTTTTGAAGAGTTATGTTAAATTTCGTAAACCCAATATTCAATAGTGAACTCTTCGAATAAAAAAAAATCGATACGAAAGTCTAAATGGATGAAAGATTGTTAGAGTTTGTAACCTAAACTGCTGAACGAATCTCGATGAAATCTGCTATAGATGTGGAGGATAGTCTGGAAGAACACGTAGGCTACTTACTTTTTTTTTGGTATTCCTCGTGGACAGAGACGTGGGCAAAATCTAGTAAAGATTTAAATGTTAAACGCTAGAAAATTTAGAAAATAATAAAAAAAATAAGATCGCAGTTCGAAGTGATTGACCGATATTAATCACAAAAGCTTTAAATATGTAACTGAGGTGGTCGATCGATGCGCCATCAGCCTTATTTTACGGCCACTGTAAAAACTAACAGCTTCCCGGTGGCCGAATTACACACGGCCCATTGCTCGATGCGCGCTGCACCACGGTTCGCTGGACAACTCACTTTTTTCGCCTGTAATCCTGACGTCCATCGACGAAAATAATTCTATGCTTACGCTGCACTGAATGTTTATTACACAGGGTAGAAGGTTTATCGGAAAACTTGGATAAGCCGATTATAGAATTTCATACGTTTTTTACATGTTTTGATTTTGGTTCACCCTGTATGTGTTATTTTATTAACGGTGTTATTGTTTTGAAATTGTTTGTTTGAAAGCTTGTATGTGTTTATTGTATTTTGTTTCTTTATTCTTGTATGTGAGTTGCAAACTGACATAGGGATAGAGTCAATCAGTTTTTTTTTGTTTTTATATTAATTAGTACTTAAAATGTAGTATGAAGTGTGTTTATGATTATCGTGATCTTATGATAATTTCTATAACCTGAATTCTTCGTTATTTTGCATCGATCAATCGTTTTGACCCGACTGCATCTCAAATTCGAGCGGTATTTGCGAAAAGGTGGGGTGTTTAGTTCATCTCGAAGGCCTCTATCAATCTTTTCGCCACATCATTTGCTCCCTCCAACGCCTCGCCGCGATTGAATTTCATTAATGAATCGCTTAGTGCAGATTGAATCCATTTAAGTAACTACGATGGGTCTCGCTAAATGTTGCCTTGTCTACATGTTATTTGGACCATTCGTAAAATGACCGAGATTCTCTTAATGTATGTTTACTTAGTTCCTTATTAAAAGTTGGCAACCCTAACGCCGTTGTTTTTTTTTTCAGACGGTATCTATTTCAATGCTGCTTCGGTACGCCCACCACCAGATCTTCGTTTTCATTGGTAAGTTTTTATTTTTAACTAGCTTTTGCCCGTGAATCCGTTCGTGTGAAATTAAAAACAATAATAAAGAAAATCTAAATATAAATGAAAAAATGTAGCCTATGTTACTCATAGATAAATTACCTTTCTCATAGTGAAAGAATTTTTAAAACCGGCCCAGTAATTTTTGACCCTATTTGTTACAATCAAACAGAGTTTTTCTCTTTTTAATATTGGTATAGAAAATCTTGATGTTTCAACATTTATAGACACTTCTAGGTCAACTCGGCTAATAGTACATGTTGTTACTAATTTCTTTCTCTTTATTAGAAATAAATTGTATTTAAAATGTAATAATTTTCACAGTTACAAAATAAATTATTTGGAAAATATAGGTTGTTGAAATGAATTTCTGTGAAAAACTCTCCAGTTCTGAGCCGGCTCAGCGGCAATCTCTTTGTAATAACAATAATTGCGAATAGCGCTCGAGGCTATCCCCACCCCTTACACCCCCTGTTTGTTGCTAAAAAAATGAAAAAAAAAAGAAAGCAAAACGCAGGTTGGATTTACCTAGCGCGCGGCCCCTTGCCACTTTGATCCGTAGACAATTAGCCGGATAGAGATAATTTGTTTCTTTCCGTATTTGCACCGGTCCGCTACTTACCGCTTCAATTGGATGATTATTTTCTGTTTTATAATCTGTGTTTTTCTTTTACGAGAAAAAAAATAAAATCCTCGTTCTTTTCATTGCGTTTTTGTATGTGAAAACATCTCTTACAGTTACATAAGTTATATAATACAAATACTAGCTTTCGCTCGCGACTCCGTCCACGTGGAATTAAAGGAACAAAAGTAAGTAGCCTATGTCCAGAGTGTCCTCTACATCTATGCCAAATTTCATCGAGATTCGTTTAGCAGTTTAGGCTACAAAGTCTAGCAACCGCCAATCCTTCCATTTGAACTTTCGCATTTATAATACTAGTAAGATTAGTATTGTTAAGAACAAAATTAGTACCGTGCTGTAGAATTGGCGCAATTCTAGATTATCGGCATAAGCGTCACGTCCCTAGCTGACAGCTGTCAATGTCATCCTAAGTCCTGACGAGAAGTGTTGCTTTGAGTTTAAAGCGACAGTATCAATTAAATAAGTTGTCTAAAAGTAAGATAAGCAGCTTTTTTATTATAAAGTTGAATAAATGCTTAAAGTACTTTGTATACAATTATTGTAAAAATACACATTGATGTATCACTCTCAAGTCGGTTATATTCGATTTCGCAGAATGAACTATTCAAACGTACAATATCGGATGAGAGAAAATCTTTTCAATAGGATCCACTCGGTCTCTATGACAACACATCCCCTAACCGGAAATAATGAAAAATATTCTAACAAACAGATAATAGCTCGCGTCTTGTTTCTACTAGTGATTTAATTTTTAGAAAATTACTGTTTTCAATTATTTTTATTATCCTCTTAAAACAATTTATAGCCTTTATAGAACAACTTAGAAGGTAATCTGATGATAGTTCATGTTACGAGGATGTTGGTTATTGATAGTTCGAAGCCGTGATGTCCTCGTTTTCACGAACGGTGTTCCGTAGAAACGCGCTTTAATATTTTGTACATTCGTATGCGTTTATTCCGTATTACTAGTGATCCGATATTCGTAAGGCGTTTGGATGTTAACAAAGCTTTATATGTGAACTTTGAGCGTGTGTAGAGACCTAAGACGTTTATCGGATTATTAATAGCGATAACATTGAAGTACGATGAGAGCGTGCTGTATATATCAATATTGAGTTTCTCATCTTCGTATTGTAAATGTGTACGAGCATTATCTTGTACTAGCTAATCCCGTGCGACTTCATTCGCGTGAAATTAAAAAAAACTTTATTATTGTTTACATGTTTCAAATTCTCAATTGCAAATGTCAAAATTACCGTCATCATAATAACCTTTGCTTTCTTAATCTTGGCAGCTTGTTGTTTATGGTCACTCTCCCACGTGAAGGTTTTATTCCAATTTATCTACCCCCTAAGTTTAATAGTGTTAAGACATAAAGCCAAAAGCGTGTCATAAGTGTAGGGTTTTTTATTAAAGAAAGAATTATTTTTAAAATATGCCGTGATTATTGACATCCTACGCCACAAAGTAGTGTGTGATTACGCCTTATTATATTAGTGTAGATAAATATCTTATTGTTTACAACCTTAATGACACAATACACAATTGTAAGTAGATTTATTTTTTGTATGCAAAATAAGTTTCAATCGAACGCGATTGTATTTTCGCATCGACGATGCGTTTACAAAAGGACCGCAGCGGGTAAATGTGACAAACGAAATGAACGTTGACCCCGACGTGATTTATGTACATTATTGTCAACACATTTTAATTAAACATCCAATTAATTTTACACTGAAGTATATAAAATTTTGCCGCTCGAATAGTCAATGTTCTGTACACGGACCGTGATATTTAGCAAGCAGCGAAGAAGTATCCGAGATTTGCATACTCTCGTGTACAAAGGCCTTAGATAAGATTCTAAAAATACCTCATCACTTGAATAATAAATATCAGAATTAAATGGGCTATTCCGAAGGGATAACGAAGTGTTCGACAAAGGGGGTTTCAAGGTATTTTTATGCGAATTCTTGAGAATTCATTGTAAATGTTTTTCATTCTCAAAATAACATTCTGTGTAATTTTTTGTCGCTAATGGACGATAAGAAAAACATTCCCAATTTTCTAACGCCTTGTGTAGTTTTAAAATTTCTTTGAATTTTGATTATTTGTTTTATTAAAAAAATTGAAAGTTATTTAATTACCGAAGGTATATTGCCAATAGCAGCTAAAGTTTTGCTTAAACTAGTACTCTCTATATAAATTTATCTATGGTAGAGCCCGCTTTAGTATCTTTGCACGACAATCGTGAAGTGGGAGCAATTCCGCGTATCGTCTTATGAGTGTGGTGCCGGAGCCCCAGCTTTAATCCCTTTTCCTTCTCACACTTTTTCTTATAAGAGAAGGATGGGAAAGGAACGTGGTTTTAACGGCGGAGGAGACGCATAAGAAGGGGATATGTCCTCTTTATGAGCGTTTCCTCCGTCGATTAAGGGTAGGCAATGCATCTGCTATTGTAAATGTCTATGGGCAACAGTCGCTTCCACATTTTAGCGGATTCAGATAGTCGATTGCTCGTTTGCCACCTTATAATATAAAAGTAAATAAATATGTAAACTTAACATCGTGGTATTTGTATCTGGGGTTGATTCAAAAGAGTATGTAAGATAAATTTAGTTATTTACTTAATTCTTTATGCAATGTATAAACGGAGTTATACCTGGGCGGAACGGAGGCGGGCAATTTCCAATCTACGTTTTATTTGTCGTTGGTTCGGTTGCAAGGCTTCGTCTTGGCAAACGCTTCTTTGAGCAAATTGCGTTCACTTCCTTTGCCTTTTAACATACCGTCTCATTGCGGTGAGCTTATACGTATTACAGGAATATTATGAGAAAATTTCCAACTTGAAAAGGTTATTATTTTACGATATACCTGTGCGCTTGTGTACATATTTATGTTTATGTTATAAAAAGAAAAGATTTGTATTTTTAGACTTTTGTATGTATTGAAATAACGCTAAAATAACTAGGCTGTATGTAATAATTCTTTCACCATCTAAAAGTTACGTTATCACTAACTAACATATGTAGTTATATAATTTTATTTTTTTTAATTCATCGTGGGCAGAGTCACGAGCAACGGTTAGTGTTTATTATTTTTATTTATAAGATATTATCAATAGTGTTTTTGTAAGTTATTGATGTCATGCTTCATTCTAATATTATAATTGCGAAAGTTTGGATAGATGGGTAGATGTTACTAAGTATCTCCAAAACGGTTTAACGCATCGCGCTGAAATTTGGCCCATATGTAGAACATAGTGATTTTTAAATTCCGCGCGGACGGGGTCGTAAGCCAAGGGTAGTGTAATTCCCTTGCTATTAGTATCAATATGTCTAAAACATTTATTTATTATTACCACTCAATATTTTTACAAACTCTCAAAATACTTCGAAGAATTTATTGAGCGTGGGTTTCAAAAATCCTTTAAGTATCTAATTTGCAAAATTTCTCTCCGGTAAGGCGATTTGCGATGTAATTTGTTCAATTATTTCGCTCTCAAATAGAGTGTAATCTTTCATAGCGGAGGTATTGGAAGGTATGAAGGCGAAAAGGAAAATGAGCCGATAATGAAGCGTGGAAGTTGGTAATAATAGATGTTTGAATGCTTGGTTTGTTATACATGTTTTGACGACAGTATTGTTAGTATTAATTTTTTTTTTCAAATGAAATCTTACTTCTTAGTAATCTATACTTATATTTTAGAGAGAAAAGATCTAAAGAAATAACGAAAAAAACTACTGGGCCGATTTCATAAATTCTTTCACCATTAAAAAGCTACGTTATCAGTGTGTGACATAGGGTATATTTTTTAATTTAACGTCGGCGAAATCGCGAGCAATAATAAGAAAGTTTAGATGGATGAATGTTTGTTACTATATGTATCCAGAACGGCTCAACGGATCACGCTGAAATTTAGCATCGATGTAAAACATAGTCTAGAAGAACTAATAACTAGACTAACGAAGAAAGAATATTCATCTAATGGTGCGTGGACAGCGTCGCGGGCGACAGCGAGTATTCTTACAATTAACATATCTATCCACAATGTCTTTTTACGAACTCTAAGATAGCACACAATTAATGCAGAATGGATTTAAAAACTTTTGACTTAGGTCTAATTCAACAATTTTAATGTGAGAAATACACGTAGAACCCCAGAGTATAATTATGTAAAAATATGTGGCAGCCTATTTTATTTTTTGCCTCTTTTAATTCTATGGTATTCTCGATGGCAAACGTTATAAGAAGGTATCAAAGCGAAGGGGAAAATAATGATTTGGTATTCAAAGAAATATAACGTGTTCTCGGTACAATATAAAATCAGAGTTTGTTATTGCTATATTAAGTAGCAAATAATCGCGAAGTAATACTTTAAGAACCTGAGGGTGCGTCTATTATGTAAGTGTTTTTATTGTTGCTTTGCTTTGCGTTGCTTTATTTGTTACCTTACCTGGGAAAATTTGCTACGTTTAAAGGTTCAAAGTGTATGAGATTATTGTGTAATATGAGTATATTTTTATATTTGAAACTTTTATGTAAGCCTGGATGTCTTGAGAAATAGCACATTCATTTTTGTACATTTCGTAATTTCAAACTAAATTATTTGGTAATCAAAAACTAACTAAAACCGGTCTAGATTAGATTATTTCTTCTCTGAATGAATTCCCTGGTTATATTTCGTATTTAATTTTTAAAATTGCTAGATTTGTTTTATATTTTGTATATAAGAAAAGGGCAATTTATGAATATTTCCCTTGTAAAGTAGATTTTATATAAACAGTACGGAAGAGGTTAATTTTTCTTGTCAAGTCTCATGTTTCTATCTAATTAGGGCGCGGCAGCCGGTTCAGTCTCTAACAACCTCTTCGCTTGATGCCACTTACCTGCTCACTCCATTGTTCCCAGCGTTAAGAGTACCGGCTTGCTTCAAGAATAATTTGCTCACTTTGATTCCATTATAAAAACAAACGGGGCACTTTTAAGTAAATGTCTTTCATTGTAAAGTCATCGGTTAGTGATATATCATACATAATCTATCTATCTATACATATAATAAAGTTGGAGTGTCTGTTTGTAATATCAAAAGAAAAATTTTAGATTTCGGGAAGATGATGTATTTGCGTTGCTAGTAACGAAAATCGCATTTTTTTTTGTCTGTCTGTCCGTAAGTCACGTTTGTTACGGGTATATTCCTAAACGGCTGGGCCGATTTCGACCGGAATTTCACTGATGGGTAGCTGATATAGACGGGTATATAATAAGCTACTTTTTTTTATCTTAATATCGCGTAGACGAAGTTGCGGGCAACAGCTAGTTATAACATAGATATAAAGTTTATGTATGCGTTGTTTGTTAAAATCTTCTTGCATGATGTTTAATATCGCAGACGCACCGATATTTTACAGCGATATGAATCCGCGCAGTAAATCGTAGAAAGAATCTGCGACGGGGGAAAGCGACTCCGGAATTAATTTCGAATGATGAACGATGAGCGATGACGTTGCAATTTACAATTTTTCACCTTTATCTGCTTCGTTGATTCGTATTAATAGATTTTATTTGTGCGTCGTACAATTAACATATTGATTAGAAGCTGTTGCTCGCGACTTCGGCCGAGAGTTTTAAAAAAATAGCCTATGTTACTCACAGATAAATTAGTGAGTTATTTCAATACATCCAAAAATACAAAGATACAAATCTTTCCTCTTTATAATATTGGTATAGATATCAGAAATATTAGATTGAATTTATAAGTCATACTGGTATGATTTAGAATATACCGGGTTAAATGTGAAGAGGCGCATATGCATATAATAATAAACAAGTTTTTAGTGCTACGTAAAAATGGTGTTTAGGCGCAAAATTAAAAATGCTGTATAAATCTATCCTGTTGCTATTTTATCAAATATTTATTCAGTTTGGCATCAAAAACTTGACAGACAGAGTAGGCCGACACATAGTGGTTACGAAAGTGAAATGCGAGGGATAATCCCGGCGTACGCAAACACGGCCGTAAAGCCTGCTGGACGGTACACCGTGCACGTGAACTGTGCTAACGATAAGACGATAAAACCTTTATCTTATTACGAATACGCTGCCTCCGAACTCTCGCCGATAGAAAGCCTCCGACGACTTTCACGATCCGATTTAACTCATTTTTATAGACCCTTTTTTTCATTTAGTTGCAAACAGCATCCGTATTTTCTGAAATAAGTTTAGACCGGACTAATGCACGCAAACTTCTCCGGTATAGAATGGAGGTTAGGAACATTTTTCTATCAAATACTCTAACCATAATTGTCAACAAATTTTTGGCATCGAATACCTTGCAGGCCCTATTAGACTTGTAGTTATAATAATAATTATAATAGCCTCCATTCAGATTAATTAATTTACAATGTTAGTTTTTAATTATTGAATTACAAACATACATTACATGTCATTAATTATCTGTTCGTCCGTTACCAACATAGGCCTCTTCCATCTTCCTCCTTTCTTTTTGTTGTCGTCCTGGTCCAAGTATGTCCCGCTACTAGCATCTACCCATCTTTTAATTGGGAAAACCAATTCCTTTTGCCACTTTTAGGATACCAAAAATTAATTGTTTTAGATAAATTTGTAGTTACAACAGATTAATTTTTATACCGTGTTTTCTAAGCTATATACTTATCTATACGTTAAAAGTATCCGTTGTCGGATCGTAAAGAATGATCCGACGTCTAGTGCGACACCATTACTCCTTGCCGCATGAAAAATTCATATAACAGCCGTTAGATCGCGTTAAAGCTCGGAGAACGCCCGCGCACTGCTCTAGGGGGCCCTAAGATCAGCTTATAGCATTCTGTTACATCATATACATGTATTTTTATGTTATTTGATAGTCGCTTTGCTTCATTTATGACGTCAAATTTAACCTCGATTGGTGATTATCATCGTAAGTTATTTTCTCGGTATTATACATATTTTAAACGTAATTCGATTTAAAACTCACATTTGTGTGATTTTCAAATTAGTAGTGCGCATTTTTCTTGAAATTAGTGACTACTTACTTACTTTTTTTGTTCATATTTAAGGTAAAGAAAATATGAATCCGTCTAAAAATTCTTTTATCGAATTGAAACAAAAGCTTTGTTTGAATTTATGATAATGCCTCGGTGTCTTGTTTACAATATACCTAATTTTATATTCACTTTCAAAACATTGTTATAATTTTATTGAATTAATTTACTATTTTTTTAAAGCTTGAACGTATATGAAAAGGCTGCGATTACTTTTCGATTATCAGGACTTTTAAACTTAAAGCTGTCAGTGTGTTGATTGCGTATGTTTTGTTCTAGTGGATCTGCTGCAAATGCTGGAGTTCAACGTAGCAGTGTCGTTCCCGGCGGCTCCCCTCCTCACAGTCATATTGGCGTTAGTCGGTAAGTGATTACTTAATTGTTAAGCTTAACAAGCTTCAATTAAATCGATAATAATACAAATCGGAATGTTTTAATCGTTGTATATGCAAGCAACAGAAGACAAGCGTAAAGTGGGAGGAATTCCGCGTTTCGTCTGACGAGTGTGGTGACGGAGGCCTAATTTTAGCGTCCCTTTTCTGTTCCACCCTTTACTTGTGAGGAGGGGATGGGAAGGAAAAGTAGATTTGACGGTGGCGGAGACGCATAGGACGAGAAAATATCCTCTTTATGTACGTCTCCTCTTCCGTCGATTAAGGGTAGGCAATGCATCTGCAACTGCGGATGTCTATGGCACAAAATTAGATATTATACTCGTAAGACACGACAAGATTCTAACGCACTTCAACTACTACCGAATGTGTCTGTTACCGACATATCCGAAGGTCTTTGAGCTAAGTCTGAATGAGCAGCTCTCAAACACGCCGCGAAGTGACGGCACAGCTTCTCGCCTTGAAGTGCTCTTGTGGCTTTTGCAGTCGCAATCTCGTAATGCGATCCGTTTTAACTTTGTATTTCCTTTTGGGAAAGACTAACGGTAGGCTGACTTGGATATTTGATATTAGTATTGATAACGGTAAACATTACATTACAAACAAAAATTTATATTTGTTCTTCATGTGTACAATACTGTCATGGAGTCACGATAGGCGTTTTACGGTTATATCACGCAATCACACAATCACATCAACACAACTAACTTTTACCTAGATGGATAGAGATAAAAATATTAATCTTACTTCTTACTAATATTATAAATGCGAAAGTTTAGATGGATGGATGGATGGATGTTTGTTAGCGTTTGTAGCCTAAACGGCTGAACGGATCTCCATGAAATTTGGCACAGGTTTAGAGCATAGTCTGGAAGAACACATAGGCTACTTTTTTGTGTTCACTCGATCATTCTGCAACGGTTCAACATATCTTATTGAAATTTGGCACAGATATAAAACAAAGTCTGGAGTACATATGAGATAACTTTCATCCCAGAGAAATATCCGGTTCCCGAGGGATTACCGACGGAGCTTTTTGTAATTTATATAGTTCGTATGTTTTCTAATACCACGCAGACGAAGTCGCGGGCAACAGCTTGTTGATAAATAAATTTAAATGTTGAGTATCAAACTCAAAAGTATTTGAAGCGGTATTATCATTTTGTCGTTTTGACTTCTGTCAAGTTTTGTAAAAAAAAAAAACTAAATGGCATAGTTCGGGTGAAAATGACAGATTTCAGAATTTATTATTTCTGGACAATTTTCTAAGTTTGTAGTTATTTATTTTCCTTAAATTTCTAATAGAGATTACGAATATAAGGATTTTCCTTGTCTAATATCATGATTCCTTTATTTTTATAATATCGCACGTAACAAATATAAAGAAACAATATCCCTTACGTTATGTCTCATTCAAACAGTTGTGTTTGAACGAAATTCAATTACATTTATAAGCGAAAATATTACATTTCAAACAATAATATGATTTGTAGTTTCATTACGTAGTTGTGCAAACATTTGTATTACTGTGAATGTAACTGATTCCGATATTGTATTAGTTTTTGTTGGAGATTTCCTTGCGAATGTTATAATGTAATATGTACGTTGTTGTTATAGTGTGTATACGAATTATATACTCAACGTTAGAAAGTAGTACACTTTTAAAGTAATTTCAGTAAAAAAATCCTAAAAGCATTAATTCTGGTGATGTATTTGCTACTCCACGAGTATTTAATACCCTACCGATAAAAGATAGAAAGAAATTAGTAGAAAACGTCCTTTTATTTCAATGAGTTAGATTTAGATAGTTAGTTTTCATGAAGATTGTTTTTTGACGATGTTCCGTCCCACTTGATGTTATTCGCTCTTTATTAGTCAGTCTTATTTGTGGCGATCTTTATCTCGATATCGATAATTTGGCGCGTCTTCATTGAAACGTTAGTAGGTCGGTCGATTCAACAAGTCGGGTGCGGCGCCTGTTGCTCGTTGGGGGGATAGTGGGGTATGGGTAATTGGGGGGGGGGAGCCTGTTGCGCCGAGCAGACGCCGACGGCGCCCACTCCACCAAGCACTCCTTCTTGCGCTCATGTTCAACAAATACTTTCGACCCATATAAAATTTGTGCGGTTCAATAGCCGGAACGAGTTCTTTTTTGCTTGCTGAACGTGGAAGTTTCCTCGTTGAATGTCCTATAATTAATGCTCTACTTTATTTTATAATGACAATTCAATGACTAGGTTCTTTCTGTATTTGAAAACTTTTGCTTGCTACAGCAACAGTTGGGCTATACGAGCGGAGGGACTATTGTAACTATTTCACGGTACCAAAGACGTTACATAAGTGTGACTTATTAAGGATACCAATGAATTTGGCAAAAACATGTTTTTCTCGCAGGTTTCTCTAATTGGAATCGTTACGTCTTTAAGAAATATTTTAACAATAGTACGAAGAACGTCACATAGAAGATATTTTTCCGAAACCAACCTAATTGGAGAGATGTTTACTCATTTTCCGTACCGACAATTTGCTATTTTGTCCATCGACAATGGTGTATTTTCAATGGAAGACGATCAGTGATGTCAATGTGTTGAGGTTACACGTGTTTTTCGTGTTATTGGGGGCACTTGATTTTATTGCTCTTATTTTTCCGTTTGAGATGTTCAACCTGTTTGAATTTACAAGGAGCTTATAGCGTCGTTGTTATTTCTCAGAAGAGTCTCCAATTAGTCTGTATCAGTACAAAATATTCTTTTGCAAACATGTTTTTACTAGTTCTTATAAAAATACATAAATTTCTATTCATGTACATAATATACCTATGCTTGTAAATATGTTATGTTAGTGCGTAGGCATTATGGTTTACATAAATCGAGGTGACCTAATCTTTCTTAAGCTCCCAGCATTCCTTAATCATCGATTATTTTTGTTACAAGAGAGCAAATAATATAAAACTGTATTAACGACTATAACAGACTCATTAAAAAATAATAATTTGTATAGATTTTTGACTATAGAGGTATAAAACTCATGTCACACAGTAGCTTAGGAATAAATGGTAGACAGAAGAATTAAAGATAGGGTTGAGGTATCTTGGAACAAATAATTTTTCGTTGTCCCAAAATATGAAATTTCTGTATGTGTCCGATGTACATGTCTTGGATATTTTAAATGTAAATAATAGTAAGAGTTGTTTGTGCATGGTTTCAAATATTTGTGATACCGGTATGTAAGTTGGCGATCAATTTGCAGTGGTAGTTTGTGACGATGTCATCTAGTTGAGCAGTAAACTCGCAGTACAAATTGCAGTTCGCCTGACTCAATTATTGTTACGACCCGGCTCGGAAATTCTAATCTTGAAGTTGGGCACGTGTGTGCCCGCCGCCCGCCGCCCGCCGCCCGCCGCCCGCATTGCATATCGTCTGATTAATATCGCCGGAGTCGCGACGCTTTCTACGGCTTCCAACTTACCAATTCAAATTTGCGCTCTATTTTGTGTACTGCTTTCAAAATTTACTAACTTCTGCGTATTTTGTGTGTTTATATGATGTTTACCCACATACATGTGAGCTAGGCTGAACCAAAGGTAAATTTTATTAAAATACCCGATAGTTTAAAAATATTTGATGAGTGTACTGATTATCTGAATATTTATTTATTCACTACCTATTTAATTCATATTTATTAACGGAAAAAAAATTAAAAACTTGAAACGATTTTTATTTTAGAATTAGAATTTTAGATAAGTTTTTATCAGTTTTCTATTTTGGTGGAGGATTACGATTTTTCGTTTTCAATCTGCTCACAAACGATACTATCTTGATTTCCCGCCATTCATTCTGAAAAATGTCTACAGGAGAGATTACTTTCAATCCGTTCCCCGGCTGAGAGAAGTTCGGCATGTTTAATAACTTCTATTATCTATCTGCGTCTACGTCAGACTGGTGACATTTAATTATACCATCAGATTAAAATTTCCCATTCAGTTTTAAAATTAAAATCCTTTTTCAAGATTTTTATATGGTAGCTCTACTCAATTACTCCACAAAATGTCTTATAAAAACAAAAGATAGGTATATCTTACGCTAGTGCTTCCTTGGAATTACGATGTTGATGTTAATGACTATAAAAAGTTAAAATAGTCTGGGATATATCCCGTCCCACGTCTCGTATATTTACAGTCATTAATTTATACCTTAGGCTTAAAATGAAATCTAAATCGAGCCGATGAAATCCCGAGAATCTAGCTTTGAACGCTTAATAGAATTCGACTTGATTTTTAAAATCTGCACGCATTCAGATCAGGGTCGAAATTTTTTCCAAATGAAAACGTTACCGGGGATATAAAAGCACATCGGACTTCGGACTTATTTCGGTCGTCATGTTTTTGTTTGGCGTCGCGTAGCATCACGTTCTACGAGCACGTAGGCCGCGTACTCTGAATACTAATAGATAGTGGAGGCTAGGCGCCGCTCGAGTCGCGTCCGAAAATTGGATTCACACAGCACACAGCGTGCGCCGTATTAACGTTGAAACAATGCCCAATCAAACTGTATGCACCCCGCACTAAATTCGATTCATACAAACGGATCCTAATTGTTTATTTTTTTCATTGTTTCCGGTTAGATTTGTTGTGCCGTTGAATAGAATGAAGTCACATTTTAGATTTTTTATATTACGTTAAGTATGACAAGAAATTGCTATTAACACTTGTCTACTTTATCATATGTTTCTTGTTTCGTAGTATAGTACGTAGCGATGTAGATACGTAGCATGCGTAGCAAACCGATATGGTTTTGTAACAAATCTTTAATTGAATACTTAACTTCGTGTAATGTTATAGAATTACGATTTTATTTGAATGCGCCGGATTCAGGTTGTACTGTATAATAAGGTATCTCGGACGCGCGTGACGAATTATAATCCATCGGTGCTAGTAATCCCGGCGCAATGGTGCGCGGCATGAATCGGCCG